TCTGGATAAGAAGGATTCAGAAAGTTCAAGTGTGCAGAAAGGACTCATTGGCTCATCTCATCTGGGCTCCTTCATACCAGACCATGCAGTTGGACCCAGTGTTATTATTTTTTCCCCTCACAGTGAGCCTGTTAATTTATGGTTGACCTCAGTCATGTCTCCCAAAGATGCATCTGGTCTTGATATAGCCTGTCAGTGCAAGAGAGGCTGGCCCACTCCCTGTGAAGCCTTCCTGCTTGTTAACTACTTTCACTGAAATGGCAAATTAAGTGTATATTTTAGGTTCAACCCCCAGCCACTGGATCTCATTATGCCATTATCTGTGGGATTAATGGCAATGGGTAAGTTGCATCATCTTAGACTTTATGACAGGGCAAGCAGGAGGTACCTTAGTCTTCGTCACCAGGTGGCATAAACTGAAGGTAACTTCACCAGACCTCTCTCAATAGGCTTTGCAATAGAACTATCAAAAAATAAGCAGGTCCCAAACCGCTGAAAACAGAGACCTATTGCAGCTGCCGCACTTAGCACTGAAGTGTAATTCACTGAACTGAAACTGAAGGAAAAAACGGAAAAAGCAACTTTCCCTGAAGTGCTTGCAGGCATGGAAAGGGCCATTCCCCTGGTGTGATTTCATGCACTGGCTGTCCCTGCCTCTGCAGGGACAGCTCAGACTGGCACAAGCAGGAATTCAGTGGCAACTGCATTCCTCTCCAGCAGTGTAACGGGCAGAAAAAGCAGCTACCTGTTTAAAAAATAATGCTGCTATAACCCAGCAGAGAATTTTACATGCATCTCCCATTAGCGACAAGGCGAGCTGTGTGCCGGAGGAGAGCAGCTGGTCATGAAACGCTCATTGCAGGTGTCTGCACTGGGAGGGGAACAGAGCTCTCCCCACTGTGGTCACTTCCCTTGTCCTCTGTACAAGCCCCTGTTGCTCCCTGGCAGGACAAGCTACCATCCAAGGTAACTTGAGCCTTTGCTTCCAGGAGGTTATGAGGGTCCCTTTTTTCCCATGACCTCAGCAGAAGGGGCTTCTTTAACTCCTTTGCTGATCTTGTTCCCTAGGAATATGCAGAAAATGTGATGTGTTGTTGCTCCCTGACTCCCTCATTACATGATTGGCAAGTGAAAATGATCAGCAAGCAAGAGGTGTTTATAAGGAAGGGAAAAACACCTATCTGTGGTGGTTCTGTAGGCTTAGTATAGTAGGAGGGGTGTCTCTCCTGGTTTTTGGGGAAAGCCTTTTCTTTTATCCTCCACTTTGGAAATAGGGCTCATGGTGTGGCCTTCTTTCAGAAGGCTGCTGCTGTAAGGCTTCCTAAAAAACTATCTGCTGACTTGAGACACACAGGTGAGTGGCTGTAAGGTGACCTGGCCAGAGCATTAAGCACACCTGTGGTGGTGTTTTGTTGTAAAGGAACTCAAGTGTCAAGCATGTTTACGTGTATTTTTGTGCTGAGGAGGATGAGAAGCAGAGAGCAGGACTTTGGGGAGCTGTGTTCCACATTGTGCAGAGGGTCCCATGTTCATGGTTGTGGGCAAGGGATGAGGGCAGGGGTATGGGCAATATCTTGGGGTGGCTGAACCACTTTGATCATGTGAGCTTGCAGCACTTGGGGCACAAAATATTTCAGTAGCAGAGATCTCTCCTGCTGCCACTTCTGAGGTTGGTTTTTGTCATGTCCTTCCTCACTGCCCCTATCAGTTGCTGGGCCATGGGTTCTGCCTGTTGGCTCAGAGAGCCCTGCTGAGCCATAAGCAGGTTGCAGTTGCTTTAGCATTATTGGATTTTGACAGATTAGGAGGCGAATCCTTTCATGTGTTGGGGGAGCTTCCCAAATGAAGCTCTTTTAATTTATCTGAGTCAGCTATCCCCAACGTGATTGCAGGAAGAGTAAGCTAAGGATGACCCTTGACAGAGGGGACCATCACAGCAGTAATAAAAAAATTCCTGCCCTTCACTAAATCCCTTAGTCATGAGGCTGTATTAGCTGGATTCCATATGTTTTAATTAGGAATTATGTATTTTAAGGGAACCAAAATCCTATTCTAGTGGAGATATGATTATATATTTATACTTGTTCTTGTTTCATTTGGCTTTTGTAGAGGTATCAGTACAGGTACTTGCTCTTGTTTGCAACCATATTTTTAAAGGTTTGAGTAATCTGCGTTATTATTTTTCTTTTCTTCCCCCCCCTCCCAATAGTGTGAAAAAATGTAATTCCCCTTCCAATGCAGAAATTGGGTCAGCAGATCCTAATGAAATAATCCTGGATAACAATGCACCATACAAGGATCCGCTTCACTAATTAATGACTAATTTTTCTTTCAAAATACAAAGTACTATTCTCTGCCTGCGGTGGATGGTGATTCCAGGTTCAGCGGCACCTGTTTGTTGCATGTTTTACCATTTTTATTATCAACATGCCCCAGGGGAGAAGGTCAACAAGAAAAAAGATTTTTTTTCCACGGTCCAGCTAATATGGATCATGCTGATATAATTCGTACCTGATTACAATTATAAGCTCCTAAAACACTGGCCATAAGTGATAAAGACTTCCTTTGTGCTTCAGGGTGTAATCCGCATCAAGCCAGTTTCAATAAGGATTATGTGCATCTGAAGTGTTGCTGAGGTTTTGAATCAAATTTATAAACAGAAAACATAATAAAAAGCCTGTCATGCCTCTATATTGGTGGCATTACACCTTGAAATCTAACATCATGGATGATGATGTCACTCTGCTCGTGAAAATGTGACGTATGCTATTAAGCCAGATACATAGTGAAAGGGTTGATTTATTCTGAGCTATGATGCAATTAGGTCAATTTTGATAGGACCTCACTTTTGTTTTGGTCTGAGGTAATAAAAACCAAACTCAAATAAAATCAGTTTGTTTATTTTGTGTGCTTTTTAGGGTTTTAGGTGTACACGTGTTATTTATCTTTATCAAAGATTTCATCTCCATGAGATGTGCGTGTTGGAAGCTCAGTTTTGGAGCTTTAAAATAGGATTATGAAATTGCGTGCCACGCTTTTAATGAGGAAAACACCCTAATTAAAATGACATAATGGCCAAAGTAAGGATGTCCAGGATGTTCTTACTTTGTATCCGTATTTTGCTTTTGTTGTTCCTGTTGTTGGATTACCAAGGGTGCAGACTGGGATTTCTATACTGTATGAGACTTCATCTCTCTAAAAAGTTACGCTACATGTTAACCATCTCTCAAACTGGTAGAGAGCTGCTTCAATTAGCTATTATCTTCTCAAGCCCATCTCAGGGTCCTGTGACTTCCGTAAAATCATCCTGCTCCTTATCTTCATGGAAACCAGTTGGTTTGTTTTTTCTTTTTTTCTTGTTGGTTTCCTTTTTTTGTTTGTTGGTTTGGTTTTTTCTGTTGTTGCTTTTTTGTGGGTGGGTTTTTGTTTGTTTGTTTGTTTGTTTGTGTTTTGTAGGTTTGTGGGGTTTTTTGGTGTTGGTTTTTTTTTTGTGGTGGGTTTTTGTTTGGTTGGTTGGTTTTTTCACCTGGTCAGTTCCTCAGTCCATGACATGCACAGGAGCCCCAAATACTCATCTTGTTTTCGTTGTTTTTTGGGTACTGGCTGAAGGGTGGAGCATGGCCCAGGCAGGAGTTAGTGCAGCTCTGGAGTTACTATCTAATCGGGCACAGGCCCTGAAGAATGTTTGCCACCTCCTTCAGCTCTTCCCACCGCAGCCCACCCTCACAGCCTGGGGAGTTTAGGTAGTGCTCCTGGGACAGGAAGCTGAAATATTCACTACAGGTGCTTTTTTTCTATTATGGAAGCCTTTGAGATTTGAGGCAAAGTAAATTGTCCACTCAGATGCTTGCATTGCTGGACCTGGTTAGCTTTTGCTGTAAAGCAGTAGTACTTTTTGGCATCTGATGTGAAAATCATGTGGCAGAATAAATTTCAGAGGTGATCCTGTGCCAAGGCTGTGGCAAAGCTTAAGAGCCTTTTCGATCAATTTGCCTTTTGCTTTTCTATGGGGCGCCTCAGAAATGCAGAACGAATCACTGACATGCTGCAGATCATTGCTTATTCTTGGAAGAACAGTCCAATGGCTGTAATTGTCTAGGGTTTGGTTTTTTCCCTCTCTAAACCACATCAGGATGGGTAGGAAGAAACTGCATTCGTGGCTTGCTATCTAGCGATTTCCGGGATGGGAAGTTGGTTGGGAATGTCCCAAATCCATGTGTGCTTGGGGCTCCTGGGCTGGTGGACTGGTCACTCTGGTGTGGCAGCTGCTCTAGGACATCAGGTTTTCAGAGAGCCAAGGCACATACTTCAGCAGTGAATTTGGCCTGAAACATTTTGCTTCATTGATTTTTAAATCCCTTTCCTTGCCACCTGGAAAAAATTCCAGAGGTATGGAAAGAAAACTGAAAGTCCCAGCCTGGCCCCAGGGCCACTCTGGTGCTGTGGAAAGGGCAGGCACAAAATGTCTTGCCTCAGTTCTGAGAGATCAGAATAATAAATAGTAAAAAAAACCCCAAACGATAAGTTATTCAGAGCAAATGAGCTATTCTGAAGTGCCGCTGCGGGGCCGAGAGCAGGGGTGTGGGTGAGGCAGCCATGAATCTGTGCTGGTGAGTGAGTGCTGTCCTGGGCTGGTGTTACCTGAGTGGTCTTTGAAGCTGTCAGGCTATTTGGACAACTGGTGGGTTGTGACATTCGCAAAGCGGTCTCTCTGGTGCACCACATGCTCTATCCCCGAACTATCTCCTTTGCTTTTTCTCTGTGTCTAATATCGAGGGGATCTGGCAACTTGTGGGCAGTCCTAGGCATGCCCCCAGCTGGCTGTAGCCTCCCAGACTTCTGCAGGCTGCACAGCCACAAATGAAGACTTTTCCCTTCTTTTTAT